TTTTACATCCTATACCATGTACTTCAGATGTCCGAGGTCTGCATATTTTTCCACAGCTGGTGACACAAAGTGACCCATTTACTGTCTCCTCCTCTCTCTAGAGACATGTCTTACTGATTTCTCCAAATGTCCACCAAATGAAGAAGGTGAGTGAGTGAGTGAGTGAGTAGCACCTTTTTGACACAGAGATCCAAAGTGCTTTCCAAACAACAAATAAATAAACATAACAACACACAAAAACACAAACATAGAGAGCATGTAAAAACAAACATGGGAAGATAAAACAAGAGGGAAGGATAAATTAAAAGAGAGACAACAGATGAGAAAACAAACAAGGAGATCTATAAATATGCTTGCCTATAGAGGTGGGTTTTGAGCAACTGCTTAAAACAGTCCACAGATTCAGTGAATCTGAGGGATTGGGGAAGACTATTCCACAATGTTGGGGCTAAAACAGCAAAGGCACGGTGACCTTTAGATTTACAGGTAGAGTGTGGAACAGATAAAAGGCCGAGATTTGAGGAGAGAAGTGGCCGAGGAGTGGAATGAGGAACAAGGAGATCTGAAATGTAACTGGGAGCAAGGTCATGAAGTGCCTTATATGTAATCAGTAAGATCTTCTAATTGATTCTGAATTTTACCGGAATCCAATGAAGGGATGTGAGAACAGGAGTAATGTGGGACCGATGGCTGGTTCTGGTTAAAAGTCTGGCGGCTGCATTTTGTACTAACTGTAATCGGTTTAACGAAGCTTGACTGAGGCACGTGTAGAGGGAGTTACAGTAATTTAGATGGGAGAAAATGAAGCTGTGAATGAATTGTTTCAGATCACTGGAGGACAGGAAACTTTAGATTTTTGCTACATTTCGTAGCTGCAGGAAACAAGACTGGACAAGTTTTGTGACATGGTCAAATGTCATATGCTGGTCGAAGATGATACCCAGATTCTTAGCATTGGGTTTGATATAGTGCGTATTGGTCAACTGCAGTGACAAAGTTATCAGGACCAAATAAAATTGTTTGTTTTGTCAGGATTTAAGTGGAGAAAATTAAGAGACATCCAGTCTTTGGTGGCAGCTAAGCACTCGTGGAGAGAGAACAGTTGATTCAGGTTATTGGGTTTCGCAGAAAAGTAGATCTGTGTATCATCCACATAACAGTGGTATGAAGGTCAATATGTGATTGTAGCAAGACTCGCTACAACAGACGGTTCTCGCAGCACACAGACCAACCACAGGGATTAATGAAGAAGACAGCTTTATTCTTTTCTCAGCCGCACACACAACTTAGTCTGCTTCCAAAAGTCCATCAAGGCTTGCTCTCCTTGTCTTTTCTGTGTGTCAGCCTTGAGGTCCAGCACACTACTGCCTTAAAAGAGGTGAGTGTGATTACTCCATGAGTTCCAGCTGAGATAATCAACTCACCTGGCGCTGCTCTCACAAGCCTTCCCCACACTTCTCTCTCCTGCAGCTGAGTGCAAACCACACCCACCTCCACAGTGATTATGTGCAACTTTTACAGGTCAGTGCCATGGATAAATGTTCTTGTCAATTTGCCTGGTTAAATATTATTTAATACATGAAGTCAGTTTAAATGTTTAAGCAGAGCAGATTTATTTTCTGCAGTGGGAGGCACCTTCTATCAATTGTTTTCACTAATTGTAGTGTTTTTGTATTAAAAATGTACCCTGATCACTCCAAGTTGCATTATGTTCAGGTCCAAGTAAGAAAACTGCCAACATCACAATTTCTTTCAGACATTTGTTGCGTTAGATAAACAACAAAATTGATTATAGAATATTGATAAACAGTAGATCTAAAGTTGTCATGCTGATTGGTGAGAGGTTTTGTCTTCTTTGGACATCTACCATAACATTCAACGGCTCCATTTGTCGTAAGGGTCTGATAACGTGCTGCTGTGTGAAACTATCACGGTTCTTACATTTTAGAATAAATTACAGAGGTAGCTACCCATGAACAATAAAATATGATCTGATGAGCTAATATAGTCTCCTTATTAGCTTTTCAGAAAGACAAAAGACACCCTCTATACAAACTGTGTAGCAGAGGCTCACAGAAACAAAATCTTGCCTAAAAGGAGGACAGGACCTCAGATCTCTAGTAGATAATGTCATTAGCTACGCTAGCTAAGTGATTGACAGCAGTCCACTCTGGGGCTTTCTAGCGACAGCTGGAAATATCTTTACTTATTTCTGCTGTTTCCATAAATCAAGACAAAGTAGTGCACCCCACATTTCAGCCTGTGTGATTATGAGTTAAGATTAACAACCAGAATTATCAATGTGTTTAAATGTTCCAAACAATAACTGCTTAAATTCACTGTTAACGTGAATGTAATCTAACAGAAGGAACAAAAGGCTCCATTATTTAGAAAGGACTAGCTCAAGGAAGTACAAATCAAAAATTGGTGCTATAGGTTACTTGACATCTGTGTGTCATAATATGTGGTTATATTTTATTATAGGTTTTTTTTTTTTGTCTCAGCCCTAAAACAAAAACTTCAAGAAGGCCCTTATTTTAAGTCATAATCATGACGGCGGAAATAAATTCCGACAGAAATGTTCTCAGTTTCTTTCATTCTACAGCCATAGTTTTCTGCCACTGGTTCCTCTGTGTTTGATGCTTCCAAACAAATATTTTCAGGTTCACTGACACAGCCACAGCTTCTGTCAACTTGCATCTCAGGACCTTGGAACCTGTTACAGGCTCATTCATGGGGACTAATTCATTGCTGTGAGTAAGCCTTAGCTTGAATGCCCATTAGTATAATGCTGTTCAGCTTGTCTGCACTTTGAAGAAATTAAGCATTATTAAAAGAACAGAGCAGGCCCGGGGAAGGTGGAGGGTTCCTGCAACCACACAAGGTATTCCTGTGAATCATGGTTGACAATTTGCCGTGGATGGGAGCCATGGCCAAAGAGTTCAAAGATACAGGCTTAGCGTCCAGGTGGAGGATAATTTAATTGTCAATTAGGCCATTGTCCCACCTTGTAAAACATCTGTGCATGCGTAGTGTGTGTGCATCTGTGAAAGTGTGATGAAACTGCCATATTCTCCGCCATTAGCTTTCACTAATTTCCCAGGTGTTTGTGAATTTTATTTTTTAACATTCAGTGGGTCAATCTGCTTTTGCACCATGCAGCGCCTGTGTATGAGTTTATGTGTGTATTCATGGGTGGTCTGAGAGTTTTCCATTCTTTGATTATCCTCGGGGGTGAGGCATGTTGTTGGTTTGGTGACTGGTGGTGAATTAGAGTTTGTTTGATTTTAATCCATATCAGCAAGTTTGTGCAGTTTTGAATAGTGCTGTTGTGGTGCGACTC